ATATATGTGCTGAAGTGGTACACAGTTCTACATAATGTATTTCGTATGTATAGCAGTGAATTCTAAATAATTCGCGAATTATGTATGCCTACGCCGCATGGAAACGAAATAATAAACGTATTTTACAAGACAATGTGTAAAAAAATTAAGAATCTAATAGATAGGTTAGAATTACAAAATGAAGTCTCTCTCTGTTCTGAAATCTCAATTCACAAAAGTAAACGTCAGGAATTAACGGTCAATATGACGACTCATAAGGAGTGCACCCTTTTTGGAAAAAGGTTCGCCAGCGCTTAGGTGGAGTAGTCGACTGCTCCGCTGCCGTTTTGCTGCATGCGGACGGATCGACGACGGGTCAGAATGCGGCCCGGTGCCGCCAAAGCAAGTGGATCACCGCAGCCGTCAACTGGGACTACCACTGGCAATCCCGTTTCAGTATTGCTGGTATTAGCCGCCGCAGCGGCAGCAGCCTCTTCGCTGGCCATTCCGGCGACAGCGTTGTCCAGGATCATCGGCACAACCACTGGCGTCGTCACGTGCTGATGATCATCCTCCAGCTGTGAGTTACGACGCGTAGTAATGCCTCGCAGCTTGGACTTTTTGGGCGGCAGAGTTCGTGGGGCGATAACTTCCCTAATTGGCGGTGCTTCCTGGACGTTATTTCCTAATGGGGTGGGCGTCGGCACCACCACAACCGTTGGAGGGGTCTCCTCCTCTTGGTAGTTCCGCTTGCGGGCTAATCGCGCTGCATTTCCATTCATATTGCTGCAATCATCCGCTGGTGGTAACTGTGGCACGGCTGCGATCTGTTCGTTGTTAGTATTGCCATTGTAACAGTCCGGATTCGTTGGGTTATTCGCCATGCAAGCGTCCTCATGAATGGTCTCCAGCTTGGATATCGTCTTGTTGGTGCCACCGTTGGTGGCAACCGTTGGAGCCACAACCTCATCCTTGGTGCCAAGCTGTTTCAACTGGGTGTTCTCCTTCTCAAGCGTTTGTATGCGATCGCGTGTGGTCTTTAGTTCTTGCTGCAGAAATAAAATGGTGCTCTGCATGCCCTCCACATCCTCGTCCAGCTCCTGCAGGAAGTCGTCCAACTCTAAAGGGTGAAGAAGTTTATATTAGCTCGTGTTTTATTTATTTATCTATAAGTTCCGATTCCAATCCTGATTGAGGTTTAACCTACCCGATTGCGATTTCTTGACCTCTTCGCTGAAGCTCTTCTGCATGGCCAGTTCGGTCTCCAGCTTCGCCAGCCTGCCGTTGGAAGTCATCTTGCCCAGCTCCTCGTTTTCCTGGTAGAGCAGACGGCACTTGGCCATCAGGCGCTTGCCGGTGTTGGAGTCCGGCGTGAATTTCCAGGCGGACAGCTCGTTCTGGGTCTCCTCCAGCTTGGCCTTGGTGGCCTTCAGCTCCTTCTTGAGCCGCTCGAACAGGAGATTGACCGCAGGATCGAGCAGGGCAGTGCGCAAGGCCAGGGCAGTTGGCGCCTGTTGGGCCTTGTACTCGGCAATTTGGCTCTGAAGGGGATGAGATGAACTGCATTAGTATTTGAGGAACTTGTGTAGAGCGAGGCGAATACCCACCACATAGTCCTGGAACTCCTGCTCCTTGTTGGCCAGCCGTCGCATGAGGATCTTCTCGCGTCGCTGGGCATCCGCGCATTGCTGACCCATGCGAACCTGTTCCAGCTTGAGATTCTCGATCTCATCTGCGAATCGAAGGATAGGGAGGATTAGCTATTGAGGTCTAGAGAACGGGCGTTCCAAGCTGAGAGAGCCACTGATTTTTTTTTTGGTTCGCACACGAGATATAACAGTATCGTACTATATATACATATATTTTTTACAAGTTCTTAATGGGCAAGGCAAAGTGTTTGTTTTTTTTATGTGGAACTTAATACGAAATCATACCAATGCGTTGCAATCATTCGTGTAAGTTCGTGACATGGTCGGTGGAAAAGGCCGCATCCCGTCGTCAATCTCTGGCTGATAATGATATTGATATTGATTTTGATTCGATGCGAGGGTCACAACTTGAACCACTTGAACTTGGACACGATATCGATGTCGGTATCGATTTCGGTTTTGATTTCGATTTCTTCGTTATCTCTGGCATTATCATTGGCACTTGAATAACTTGAACACCTGCCATTATTTGCATTTTGATTTCTTGCATTTGCTTATGCATTTGCATTTGCATCGAACTTGATTGGCAATTGAATTTGAATCTTCGCGGCATTTTCGAACTTGCATACACTGTGGAAAACAACGACGACTGATTGGTATACATATTTTTTTGTGGCAAAACTGAAAATATTTTTGAAAAACACTTGCAAAAAACTCGACGCACACACAATGGGCTTTCGGAAGCTTTTTCGTATGCCTATGCATGTATATACGTATGTATGCATGGTTTTCAAAAGCTTTTCCCCTTCTCTTTTTTGCGGCATTTTCGAACACTCTTTTGTCATACAAAAAGTTTATTGACTTTGCTGTATTTTTTGTTGTATTTGTTGTGCAAACACGTATGTATATTACTTCGTATTTGTATTTACTTAGCGGAACAATTATTTTTGTATTTATATATACTATTTGGCGGAGGCAAACAAATGTGTGCATGTGTGTGTGTCCCACATTGCATGTTAATTGAGTGATTGTCGACCAATTAAGCGTTTAAAAATCAATTAAGTTAACTTATCAATTGCGAATATCCACACACACACACACTCACATGCATGTTCGCCGTATTTTGGCGCCATTTATTTAAACATTTGTATTTGTTGAACACACGAGGCAATGTTTTTTTATTATTTTGACGTTCACTTCTTCGGCACACTTTCAACAGAAAAACAATTTGGACTTTATTTTCACTTTGGTTATGCACTGTCACATATTAAGTGGATTATTCAATATGATTATTATTTAGGCGCGACAAAAAGGAGCGAGAGCGAGTGTGAAGAGAGAGAGATAGAGAAAGAGAGAGATGGATCCAGGGGGCGGGTCAGGGGGCGCAGACACGTTGGCTCTCTTCTCTTCTTCTCCTCTCCACTTCTCTGCTTCTTCTTCTTCTGCGGGCACGTAGGCAAACGAAAAGTGGACGCAAAACGAAAACTGTACACCACAAAAGCGACGAAAAACGAGGAAAATCTTCGATTGGGATTCTTTGCTATTATTACTTGATATGTATATATTATATATTCAATTGATGTTATTATTATGTTATGTTATTATTAAGATTATATAAAATCTTAAAGTTAATTGCAAATCCTTATCTTCTTCGTTATTTATTTTATTGCTTTTTAGTTAAGTGCTATTACTTTCAATTTTAAAGCTTAGTGCCGCTTACTGGTTATAATTGGTTACGATACTCATTGAATCAATGATTATTTAACTCATATTTTAGATAGTTCTGTTGCACAACACTTTGTAAGCACTTGATAACTTAAGGCTTCAGTTGCCTTTCAACTTAGTTCATATATTTAGGTATTATGGATTATTTTATTTATTGTCCTTAGAACGCACTTTCACTACATTGACGGTTTTCTCGAGGTGGTGTTTAAAAAAATAACTTAAAAGTTAACCAAAACGCCGCTGAAAGAATGTTCGTTGCAAAGAGTGTTCGCTTCGATTCGATTCACATAATATACGTTGAGTTCTTTTCCGAGTGTTTTTCATAAACATATTCAAATGGCACAAAAAAAACCCAAATGGAGTGGGGGGTGGGGGGAGGGGCAGAAATAAACTAAATAACTACATTTACTTGATGGTTTTCTTGCATTATTTATACAATTTACACAGAGTCAACACTTTGGATCGTGGTTTTTCTTTCTTTTCGTATTCGTATTCGAAACGAGTATGTATGTATATAGGGGGTGTTATATAGATCAGATAGATCTCTGATCAGATAGCAGTGTACCAAAATGTGCAAAATACCTTCGAGCAAGCGCTGTCGCTGTTCGGCGGCTGCAACAGCCTCTGCAACAGCTGCTGCATGTTGCTGCTGCTGCTGTTGTTGCTGCTGCTGCTGCTGTTGTTGCTGCTGCTGCAAGTGTTGTTGCTGATGTTGCTGCTGCTGCTGCTCCTGATGGTGATGATGGTGCGGATGCGGATGGTGATGATGATGGTGGTGCGACGACGACGACGTTGTGTCCTCCAAGCCGGAAGGCGTTGGGGAGGCGGGGCCGCCACTGGCCCCACTATTTTGGCTGCTGTTTATGATATTTAGGTTTTGCTCGTATTTGGTCGGGGGCATTTTGTCGTAACTGTTCATCAAGGGTCTTTGATCGTCCATAGTCATTGCAGCGACACTCATTACTTGGGTATTAAAACGCTGTGCTTGTTGTTGTTGTTGTGGGTCCTTTGCTGGCGTTGTTGTTGTGGTTGCTTTTCATAGGGGCCGCTCGCTCGCTCACACACACGCACGCACGCACGCAAACACACAGACGCTCTCACCCTCTCCTACAGAGCACACACACACGCACCCACACGCACGCACACACAGGCAAGCTCTCGCTCACACCAATGGCGACGCGTATTGCGAACGTTTTGCAAAACGTCGATTTCGCGTACTTTTCGCGCTTGCTCAACGCTCAATTAATGATTTATCGCTGGATTGTTCTTTGATTCACACTTTTCGTATGTTTTCGGTCGGTTGGGCTCACTTTTACGGCGTTATTTCTTAAATTTTCTACGCTGCGAGCTGCTTTCTCGTTTGCTGCTGTTAACTGTTGTTCACAATCCAACATGGCGTCGCTGGAAAATACCATCGTCACGAATGCATCCCTGGGGTGTGAGGCTCGGATAAAGGCCAGCAGAGACTCAATCCACTTGTGTTCACACTGCCGCGAGATGTAAATTTGAGTTTATAATTATTAGTTAGAAAATTGGTTTACTTTCAAAATTACACTGATCTTTCTTTCTTACGGCTACCTCAAAGATTCAGCATCCAATACCAAGGCCATTTAAATCGTTATAAGTTATTATGAACAATCAAACATTAGTGAGAAAGATGTATTTTACGATGCTTTTTTAAGAGATACATAGGGGTCACACTGGTCGACTGTTTTGGAAATTGTTTTTATTTTCGAAACGCAAAAACATGGCAGAATGCACTAATGTACAGGTGAAACTGGAGCAGCAAAACATCAAGGAGCGCCTGAATCTGCACGTCAAGCGGCGCCTGCAGCAGGATGCGGATAATCCCATCGAGAGTCCCGAACTGTTGCCCACTGATGCGAATGCCAAACGCAGCAAGGCGAAAGATGTTCCAAAAACGAGAAAACCCTACCAAAAGCGCACAGACAAACCGAAAACAGAGACGACCAAGTGCAAGAAAGGTATTTAACTTGATTTGGCAAGAGCTTTCCCCCCAATACATTGATCTTCTTCAGTGGGCCCATTGGGCAGTCCGGCGGGCGAGGCGGATGCCTTGGATGACCAGGAAACGGAGGGCTTTTCCCCGGAGGCAGCGGATGGCAAATCCTCGAGACGAGATGGCTGCAAAAACGCCGACGTTCTAAACATGGTCCTGAACGTTAAGAAACGCATTATTATGCAGGATCCTGAGGTGCAGGCCTTCTGGACCGAAATCACGAATTGCATCAAGGGCTGAAAACTCGACTGGGGTCATAAATCATTAGAAAATGGAATCGCTGTTGAGGACTTCACTTGAAGTCGCTGTGTAATATAAATATCTTATATTAAGGTTACTGTACAAATGTACGGGCAGGTCAATAAAATAGGTGTTAGTCCAGATATAGTTGAAATAGTATCCATACTTGTAAGTTTGTTTACGAATAATGCGCGCAATGGAATTTTTGATTAAACGCGAGCTGTAAATGAAGCACTTACAGCTGCTCAATATGCTGTGAAGTAGTAGTCACTATTATATAATATTGTAATGTAGACCTAAATTGCCAAATTATTCAAAATCGCTGGGTTTTGGGTTAGGGGTTGTTATCTTCAGTTTCAGCTTGATGAAACCAACTTTGTAAATTAATTTGTGTTCGTTGTGAACAAACTGAGAACAATACAAGTAATAGTTTAAGTTTAGTTTTAGTAGGTTTAACGAGTTACGATACTAGAAATGAAAACATTATATTAAAAATGTTTTGTATTTTGTAGAAGCACTTTAAGTGCCAAGTAAAAATATTGTGACATTTATAACATGAACTTATTTTTAAGATGTTCTTCAGGATACTAATACTCAATCAGTAATTTGAAATATGAGTGTTGAAGCTAGATTTTTTAAAATACTTAAAAATTATTCCGGAATAAAAAATAATTGTATAAAACGTGAGAATTGCCAGGGTGTCCAGTGCGCAGTCTCTCTCTCGGGGAATTCTCCCTCTCTAGAGAAACGCTTCGGCGGAAATCTCGCCGGCCTGCGGACAGCTGCGGATTTGGCGGAGCGCTCAGAAAGAATTTCACCGTGTTTGGGGTTGCATCTACCGCGTCGCGTGACCGCATCAGAGTCCACAGCAAGTAAAAGGAGGCCCTTGGCATCACAAATCGAGCATTTCAAGTACGAATTCGAGTGTTTTTTGAGACCGGAAAGGTAGCTGGAAAAACTAGAGACCAGTGCAAAGTGGCGAAAAGTCGCGATTCTGGGCGAAGCGGACTGTAAGCCGTGTTAGATAATCCCGCTTCAGTGGCGCGGTTCGCTATCGATTTAACTTTTTTCGCTTGGTTTTTCTCAAAAGGGCGCTCGTGCCCCCTCTCTTTCGCTCGTTCTCAGGGTGACTGGCTCTCGCTCTCTCTCTCCCCCTCTCTCTCACTCATTCGATCTACCTCTCTTTCGCACTCGGCCGCTTTGACTTTGTGCTTCGTCCTTGCGAGAGAATTTGCACTGGAATCGCACTTAAATCCGCCCACCCCCGGGAACCCTTCGCCCCCAACCGTTCCACCCACTACCCAACCACCACCCATCACCCACCACCCATTTTCTGAGCCCTTTTTCTCTGGCATCCGCTTTTCTTTTCGCTTTTCATTTGGGGGCCCTTTCATTTCCACTTCGGTGTCATCAGCTTGAAATAGTTCGAGAGCCAGGAAAATAGCGAATGTCTCCACTCTTACGTAAATAAATGGAAAAGAAAAGAAAATTGCACCGAAAGGGAAACTTGCGGAAAACTATTGAAAACACACGTGGGGGTCCTGGGGCATTATATAACAGCCCAAGTAAAAGTGAAAAGTGACTTCAAAGTGAAGCAGAAACACAGTGCATAAGTGATTACAAAACAAGTTGCCTGCGCAAATGGACCGTCAGTAGAAGAGAGTGTGCCAATAAAACTGAATAGCTGCGGATATAAGCCAGATAAACAGCACAATACCTAATCCTAAGCGGGCTAATTAGCTGCTGGCCAAGTTCATAAGCCAGCAAGCAGCCCTGGATCCCTGGATCCCTGAATGCCCTAATCCTCGAGGTCTCCGAAAGGCATTACACAACAAAAGTGCAGACCCAAGCCCCCCGTTGAATTTACCTGTGCCACCTGAGTAATTTTCCCATGCCACTTGTTCCGCTCGCGTTGTTGTTTTTTTTGTTGTTGTTGCTGGGTAGCTCGTTCCATTTCTTTAATGGCTAAATCGATATGCCAGATTCGTGCTTCTGCCAATTGTCTGGGCTCTTACATAACAACAAAAAGAAGCAGCTGAAGGAAAGGCCCACAGCCGCAGGATGGGAACTCAAAACATTTCCCGCAGGAAATGCCACAAGACGGAGACGAACGGACAGTGGAAAATAGGAGAAAAAACCATCGAGGGGGGGAGCGGAATGGGGAGGGGTGGTGGCTGAAAAGTGGGCTAGAACAGCACCTGAACTGGGTCAGTTATTGAATTTTCCGAGGGCGGAAGAGGCAGGGTGTTGCATGTCCTGCGAACTGCGAAATGCAGCCGAACAACGACTGCTGATGATGGGCGACTAACATGAAACCAGGCCCACTCAATCAAGCCACCCACCATATATCATCATCATACATGTGCATATATAGATATCAAATATGGCCTGCCGATTGCAACTCTTCCTGTTCCTGGCCCGTCACTTGCCAGCTGCCAGTTGCCAGTTGCCAGTTTCCAGTTGACCAACAACCAGAAGCAGACATTCTGTGGGGATTGAGTGGCCGACATGACAACGGCCCCATGGCTACCATATTGATTGGCTCCTCGTTCGCTCGGCACTCAGACGTCTTGCATGCACGGCTGTGTATCCTCAGCCGGATGGATACCTGTGTTCGTGTGCCAGAAACCCAAATCTTGCTGGCCAGCACGGGGCGTATGCGTAATATTCCTTGCCCTGCTCACCACGACTGCCCCGAATATTGTTGGAGTGGGCTCCCAACTGCAGTGCTCTAGAATCTAGAATCTATGGCTTCAGTGCATTGCACTTTTCCCGATTACGTGCCATTGGGGCGAAGGGGGCTTGACTGGGGCCCAAATGGCCAACGAACTGCAGGCAGTCCCGGAAATGGGATGACAATGTAATTACTTGAGTGGCCAGGAAATTGGCTGTTTAAGCCCAAAGTGAAGTCACAGCGGGCCTCCAAAAGGGGGGTCTAAAATGGGGTCTAAAAGGGGTTTTAAAATTGGGCCTAAAGGGGGTAACTTTGGGTCCACTTAGTCTCGATCAATATTTGGAAGTAGTTAGGCTATAGGGAAGTTCAATGAGCTCTTTGGGTAGTAAACAAATTAGGTAATTTAAACTGTTCATTGTGATAAAGTTTATTAATGTGCCTGACATTGAACAATATAGAAAACTTCAGAAAATTATAGATTATATTTATTACTTATTTATAAGTTTATTACGGCTGCCAGACAAAAAGAAACGAGTTATACACTTAATGCTCTTAAAGCCCTAAATATTCTAACTAGCTAGTTTCATACATTTTATTTAATACTTTTAAATGCTTATATAAAGAGTAGTAGCATTGTTAAACAATATAATCAGATTTGGGGACAATCCCGTAAGCAGAGCCCCAACAAAGCCTTTTCAATAAAAAAAAGGAAAAGGAAAATAGATTGAACCGACAATCGGAGGAAAATGGAAAATGGGTATGGGGATGGAATGCCCAGTGAAACCACTTGGCCACAAATCGCAAACGTGGGCTAAACTATTAAAAGCCCCCCGGGGGGTGGGGGGCAGATTATAGGAAGGTGGGGTTTTTGGATGGGCGGTACGTATTGGTAGTTTGTTACCTAGCTACCGAGTACCGTTAGCAATTACCCACCATCCGGAAAAAATGGGAAAAACTGCCACTGCTGGGTGGGAAAATCAATTGGCAGGTGGGCGGAAAAGAGGAGGCGGGGCTGCAGCTGTAGCTGCATTCGAGCAATCATTGCAATCCAATTAAATGGACAGTCGATCCCAAGACAAGAAGAAATAATAAAAAAAAAAACAAAAAACATGGGTGAAAATTGGAAAACAACAACTTAACGACGCAAGTAGCGCGTCGTTCGAATGCGTTCCACATGGGATCCACTAGCTCACTAATTGGGTCGCTAGAGGGCGCGCGTCATCGGTGAGCGAGAAAGAGAGAGAGCGAGTGCTTGTTGTTCACGGAGAGGATGGAGTTGGTGGTGCGAAAGAGGCGGAATCACTCTAGTTGCATTGCGCCGTCGCCCTGCCGTCCCTTTCACCCCCCCTCATCGCTTCCTTCCAAAATGCATCTCCTCTTCCTCCTTCTTTCCGCTGCGTCCCACTTTCTGTTTTTGCCTCTTTCGCTTTGGCTCTTCTCTCCTTTTGGATTTATTTTCGCCACGGCGATTTTCACTTTTCATTGCAGTCGTCTAATATACAACAAAATCGGCGAACGTCATCGGGTTATTAGGAAATGCGCACAAATGACTGCTTAACTTATACAAATTCCTTTTGTTTAGGCTAATATGCTGATGTAGCAGCGATTCAGTGCGCAAATTGTCCAACGAAAGGGAATTCGCCAGAGAAACAAGTTGTTGCTCCAGCCGCCGGGCAGAGAAAAAGTGCAAACATCAACTTAAAACGCAAGCAAAACTAATTGAAATCAAACCAAATTCATACGAAATGTCGCCATTCATGGAGAAGACGTTGTTGTTGTTAGGCGTGCTCTGCTGCATACAAGGTAAGCCAAAGCCTCAAAGTTTATGCAATGCAAAAAAACATACACACACACATGCGTGTGTGCAGCCCGCACACACACACACGCACACACAGACTCACACACACTGACGCAGCTCGAAGCCCTGACATTTGGCTTTATACAAATGCACTTTATGCCATACATGCCATACATAAATGCCAAGTTGTATATTTACATAGGACTTACAGTGCAAACTAACAGATACCCATCATGTTTGGCTCTAGCTTTTAAGTTCTATTATCGCATTTGTTCATATTCAAAGCAATTATAAATGTTCGAATAAATATAAGTATTAAATCGTTCAATGCCAATTCACAAAATGCAAAATTTAATCGTTAATCCCATTTTAGCCTCAATATGTACGTATGTAAATTCAAGCTTTTAAACGTCATCTCCAAACAAAGTGGTTTAAGCCAACTTAGAGATACTTTAATAGGATTATATAGATATAAGTGACGATAGGTAGATAATCAGCTTTCAACAAAATCTTACATAAGTCCTAAATGTTGTCCAGTTGTTAGTTAATATAAACTTGTAGATACATTGTGTAGATACTACCTGTTATATTTTTAATAAATAACTAATATTTGCAGTGACCACTGCCCTGATGTGCTACGACTGCAACAGCGAGTTCGATCCCCGCTGCGGCGATCCCTTCGAGCCGTACTCCATTGGCGAGGTGAACTGCAGCAAACAGGAGCCGCTGGAGCACCTGAAGGACAAGTACAAGCCCACCCTGTGCCGCAAAACCGTGCAAAAGAGTAGGTTCCAAATGGCAACCCCAAAAGTCATTAGCTAATGGTATACTTGCTCCATAGTTTACGGGAAGACCCGGATCGTGCGAGGATGCGGATACATCCCAGACGAGAACACCGACAACAAGTGCGTGAGACGCTCGGGAACCCACGACGTGGCCGCCATCTACTGCTCCTGCACCAAGGATCTGTGCAACGGAGCCAACTCGAATGCTGGCCAGTGGATGATGCTGCCCCTCGTCCTGGCTGCCGGATTGGCGCTCCTGCTGAACTCGAGGCACACAATACGATTCCAGAGCTCGTAAATTGGGCTCGAACTAGCATTTCACTGCGTACACCTGTACTTATCGTTTTCGAGTTTGTTTTTAGTGGTTTTTCGATTCAGTTCTGCAGTTGATGCTCATTTAAATGCATAATTTACTTTAATATATATCATTTAATGTGTTCGTAAGCGTAAAACTAATAAGAATAATACGGAAATTAACCTAAATTATATGTTCGCATGCATTATATAAAACAGCAGGATTAAATTGAAAATGGTAACACACACTTTTGGGGGCAGTAATAAAAGAACCTTTTTAAGCCTTTGTTCGAAATTAATTTTAAAATACAGAAAAACTGCCAGTAAATGTCTCCGCCTAAAAAATTCAACCGTCGACCCTAAAAAAAAAGTCCTTAGTAAGAAATGCAGATCCATGATCTACTACGTAAGTCGTAACCCAAAATAACTCAAAATCAGCGACGTAGGAATACCTTTTTGCATGAGATCGAGCGATAAAGGGTTTTCTTACTCAAAATTTGGGGATTTATTTATGAAAACTCCGTTCTCTTTTGTTTTTACAAATATTTAAATTTTAGTTTGTAACTGGGTGAATCTTTAAAGGCTTGCCCTTCAAGAAACCTGAAAGTGCAAATTTTAAAGATGAACATCTATCTTTGCGAGAAATTCTTTGCAGTAAAGAGGATTATTTGATTATTTTGTGTCAGGTATATATGGGGATTCTATCAACCACCTCTGGTAAGGAAATCCATGCTATCATTTTGTTTTTAAGCTTTTGTTCGGAGTACTAGTCTCAATACTTAGCAATTGAACAGTTTTGTGTAATTGAAGAAAATAAATGGGGAAGGGCATCCTCAAAGGCAAACCCTATATGAAACCGATTAGTGCAAGTTCTAAGGATGAACACCTATCTTTACGGCAAAGAAATTGCAATAATTTGTATTCATAACTCATTTAAAAGCAGAAAATCAATTTTCGTAACGAGGAAATGATAAGAGTAGCATTGAAATTTATACAGAGTAAATAAATGAAACCAAAGGAGAATCCAATCCATCAAATACTAAATACGAGAAGGGAATAGTAAAGTTTGTCCATCATAAGCTTCATGAAAACTAAGCCATACTATACAGCCATGATCCCTAAGAAACATTTTCAACGGATTTCCACGAAATTCTGGCGGAAGTGGAGCTGCTAGCATGGCTGATATACATAAATCTTCCTAATACTTTAGACGGAAAGTGCATAAACATTTTGATTTGTGTCCCCAATACAATTCTAACACAAAACCGAGGTACAGTCAACACAAAGCATTGCAAGATATTAATAAACAGAAACACTAGCCAACATATAAAAACCAGTTACAAACACATCATTTTGTGTAGAAAACAAAAACAAAGATATATATATACATATATATATATATATATATATACATGAAAAATTGCATAAATTATATAACATTATATTTATTTAGTTAAATATTATTAAGAATTATATGGAAAGATAATAAGATAAATACAGAGAGAAGCGAGAGCATATGTAGATAAACCTAACTAATTTTAATTTATAAAATGATAACAAACACTAGCCGTTGTATCGTAATAGTCGAAAAATAAGAGAATAATTAAATGGCGAAAAAGAAGGAAATTTAAAATCAATACCCCATTAACTAGTCGCAGTACTTAAGGTTCCACAACCAAACCGATTATGATGGATAATTTCGATTTTGTTCTGCATCTGAAGCGATTTTCCAAGGAAGTACCCAAACAAAACTATTGCAACTCAAGCACATCCAAAAAAAAAACAAAAAAAAAAAAACGAAAACAAAATGAAACACAGGATCACGCAAACTTTATAAACTGCAAAATTATTGAAATAATAAAAAGTCGTTAAATCACCTTTCAGCGTGAATCATATCATTGAGCTTTGCTTCACAAGAAGACGGGAAGACATTCTAAACCAAAAGTATAAACTAACAACTAAACTAAAACAAAATGCAAACACAACGTACATACATGCATATATTTCAAATTATTTAATGCAATTGAAATATGATAATGAGAAGTATTTATAATAAAACGTTTCCAAACAAGTTACTGAAACTTAAAAAATTTATGAACTAAGCGTAAGAAATCTACAGAAAGAACACACACCAAAAACAAAGCTTTTGTCTGCGCTGGCTGAGTCGAATATTCTATAACCATAAATATAATACCTAAATATTATATATATCTATATAATTTCTTTTCGTTTTTATATCACAGCAACACGGATAGCAACAAAATGGGAAACTTATTTATTATGCCAGAGAAACCGAAACATAACAGAAAAAACACTGCAGAGATAATAGTATAAAATCCATAAGCAGATAAAAGATGCGAAAAAAAAAACAAGAAAAGAAAATAAAGTGAACTTGTTAATTTTTAGCATTTAAGTCTGTAAAGCTCCGCTTGTAGATGAAAAATCAATAAATAAACTAAATAAAATGGTAAATTCAATAAATGGAGACAAAAAAGCTGTAAGCTTTCACAACAAAAACCAAACGATACTTTTTGGTGTGACGCGGGGGATCTGTTACTAGATTACCTTCTATATATGGTCAAAATATTGATGGGTTACATAGCTTAGCTTGAGATATTCCCTAAATCTGCTTCCTTTTGGATTCAAATTCCCTTAGGCAGGTAGTAGATATATGGTTCTTGAGCGTTCATTAGAAACTATGGACTATCATAGAACTTTCTTACAGCACCTAGGGCATCAGAAAGGAAAACAATATATGAAAGTAAACCTTAAATTTATTACTGGAAGTACGGTCGGATCGCAATCCCTGTTAGGCAAGCTCACTGGGAAAGACGGCGCTCTTGGCAATGGGCTGGTTGGACCTGCGCACGATCCGGATGTAACCCTGCTCGCCCCACGTCTCGCCGAAGGAGTTCAGGCAGCGCCAGTAGTCCAGATTGGAGTCCACGTCGTGATCGTAGCCCACGACCACCAGGAACTGCGAGCTCTTTGGGTTGGTCAGGGCCCTCGGCTCCTGCACGAAGACGCCACTGGAGTACTGCATGAATCCAAAGGTCGCCGGATTGTATTCCACTATGACGGGGAATCCATTCGACACGTAACGCATTACGGCGGCATCATCGTTGTCGGCCACCGTGGAATAGCTGGCCAATTTCACGCCCACCGACACGGATGTTGGGGGCTGGCACATTCCCGGCGTTTTCAGGGCATTGCTATTCGGATAGTCCAGCTCCGGATACAGATACGCATCCGTCAGCTGGGTGAGATAGTTGAGGGCAGCCAGGGGCGTCTGGGTGCTGCATCCGGTGCCCATGCCCGCACAGTCCAGCAGCTGCTGGGCGGACAACGACGAGGGCAGCGGATTGGCCGTCTGCACGGCATTCATGATCTCCACGGCCTTGGCGGTGGCATAGGCCCAGCTGCTGCTGCAGTTCACGCCCTGATCCTCCACGGCAACGGTGAGTCCGAAGTCCGTGATGATGTCGAAGGTGGCGGCTGCCGCCTGACTGGTGGGCGGATCACTGGCCGCCGAGGTCACCGTGCTGACGGCCTTGGGCAGCAGGGCTGCGAACTGGATCAGCCGGATGTCCGAGAATTGATTCACTGCCTCGCGGGAGGTGCTGCGATTCCTATCGGCCTGGGCATTGTGCTGGGCCACCTGGTTGCGGTTGTAGATGAAGTAGTAGTTGGCGAAGTTGCGAGCCGAGGTCGAGGCATACGTCTTGTTGAAATTATCCTGCAAACAGAAAGGTGGAATTTCGAGACTAATGATATCTACATACTTGCACTTCTTTTCAGTGCAATAAGATGAAAGATATGAAAGTACATTCGAGTGTGACCTAGTTAAAGGTTGTCTCCAGAATGATGAGGGGCTACATACCTCGTAAGTTTGAAAGTCCACTAGATCCTGGCCATGATTAAAGGCCCATCCACGGTTTGTGGTTAGCAGAAGGCAGCAAAGTAGCAACTTGAACATGACGAAAAACGAATCGACACCAACTAATGCCGCAAGAACGATGGAACGATCTTTTATAGGCACCGGCAACTCTCCTTCTGATTGCAAACGCAAATAGAACTTTACCATGGCGACTTACTTTCGCAAGAAAAGTGCAAATAGATTTCTACGGGGCCTTGAATTCGCACTTAGCCCACAGCACTCGAATGAAATAGTAGTACTCGTAGTATCCATATTCTAGGTGGGTCTTCTCGATAAGCCCCTGTTAGATGGAAAAGTCGGGGTGCGCTTTGTTTGCCCAATAAACTTGTCAAATGCCCCGTTTCGTATCGCTGCGATTCGGTGGGTTCTCGTATCTCTGTTAATTCGAAGTCCCCACTGGCCCAGTTAAGAAATATCCAAGCCCATGCCCATGGAGCATCGTAAACGCCTCTCTCTAAGGCCCACTTATCGTCTATTATGAGGTTTTGTCTTTTGCGCTGTCTTCTGGTTGCAACACCGCTGATAGATAGATACGTAGATAGAAAGATAGATAGATAGATACGCCTGTTTGATGACTTCGCCAAACTGCTGCAGACCAAGTGCTAAATGAGTTGCTTGGCATATGCGGGATCACCTTGAATTTCTGCAAATTTCCTACTCATCTCCTCAAGGTTTCATTTCAATTAACAGGAATTAAAAGTCGAAACCAATATTCTTATCCATCCACATTTGAATGAATATGAATGTGTGCAACCTAAGGACTTATTTACAATGTAGTAACAATAAGAAAACTAAGCTGCTCAGAAAAACAAAAGATATTTGTAACTTATAGGCACTGCAACTAATAGTGCAATGCGTGGAAGCTGTGAGATGGATCTCATTAATTACGAACTGTTTAAAAACATGTTTGACTATTTTCTCTTTTGTTTCAAATGAGTTATTATGCGTTGTTATAGCCACCAACCTATTGGGCAATAGACAATTACCAAGCATGCATAAAATGGAGGCAGCTATAGGGCCGTAAGCCAGATAGCCAGATAGCCAGTCGAAATGAATATGAATACGCTTTTCGGTTTTCAAAAAGTTTCAAATTGGTGGTGGCCCATCCAGTTTTGGCCAGGTGTCCCACGTTCCAGCTCCAGACCCTATAAAACCGAGGTGTGCAGGTCGAACGCCGCTTATAATCTCGCCGGTCTTCGAGTCTTCGAGTCAGCATCTTCGAATAGATTTGTGGACGCGGAAGGTGTTCGACCATTTCTCCCAGATACTCATAAAAGGTGATTAAGTCGAGCTCTTCAACTTACTCGTATTGTGTAGTGCGTGTGCGTATTCGATTCATAAAGCATCGCTGAAGACAAGAGAACTGCAATTGCAATTACAACGTACACGCGATTTGGAATTTGGTTATAACAAGGGAATCCATCGCCTTTCACCAGGCACAGCATGTGATCAGTATTAATGGCAACGAAAGTGAAATCTTAGCCAGCGGTTGCCCCATCTAAATCTAGATTTGATTTTGATTTAATTGGGCCTTCGGTGAAGCCAATTTGGGCTGAGCAAATAAAAGAGGAGGCGAAAATTCACATGTCGAAATTCATCCTAATCGAATAGCTTGCACTAATGTAACTATGCTAAGCACATGCAAATGAGCTTATTCAACCAGTAATTATTCACAAGTTATCGGTGATTGAATTCGAATTCGCGAAACCAGACCGGAAAAACGAACATCGAATGCTCTGCTAGTTTGAAAAGTCAATAAAGCCTGGCTAGATCGCACAAAATTGCGAAATTAAGACGCGACTAAAGCCAGTGATTGATTAATTACCCACTAACGTATTGGCTGACAGATGCAGACGGTCAGCGGGATACAAAAAGAAACAATAATAAATAATATTTATAATACCCGTTACTCGTAGAGTAAAAGGGTATACTAGATGCGTTGAAGAGTATGTAACAGGGAGAAGAAAGCGTTTCCGACCGTATAAAGTATACATATTCTTGATCAGGATCAATAGCCGATTCGATCTGGTCATGTCTGTTTGTCCGTTCGTCTGTCTGTCCGTCCGTATGAACTATAGAACCAGGAAGTTCACAAACCGTCATGCCCAAACTGTCACGCCCACATTTTTTTCAAAATTTTTAATTTCTTTCATTTGGTTTAGTTTATGGTTTAGTTGTTTCAAAAACATGCCGGTTAAACACAAAATTAATTAGTTTGTTCGTTTTTGTTGGCTTTCCCCCAAAATTGCATTCAATTAATTAACTTAAGGAGATAAAATAAATGCTAATCTAATCTAATCTGAGCACACCATTAATGAATACAAATTAGTGGTGCATGAGGACACTCCTCTGAATATTCACTAAAAACTATAAACTGGATGAATATTTTGAAACCAACGAATGAATTTAGTTGTTCCACACTTGTGGCCTGTTTTAAATGTTGCAAATTTGTGAATATGTTTATAAATTGATAGGTTCCGCTTATGAGTTGCAGATAACGAATACAAATTAATGGTGCATGAGGACACTCCACTGAATATTTACCAAAAGCTATAAACTGGATGAATATTTGAAAGCGAGTCAACGAATGAATTCAGTTGTTCCACACAAGTCGCCTGTTTCCAAATCGTGCAAATTTGTGAATTTGTTTATAAATTAATAGATTCCTCTTATGAGTTGCAGAGCAATAAGAAACGCCATAATCTGCATGGCAGGTTGCTTCGATTGGAGGTGAATGGTCGGGCCAAGTTGGCCAGCGATTAACGTTGACAGATATGGCAAGAAAAGGTGTCGCGGGATGGGCATGGTGTAACTATGTGTTGGCCAAGTGGTTACCTAACGCTTTCCACTCTCTCTCTCTGCTGTCCACCGTTCCAGATGCGGATGTGCTCACCAATGTGGCTGCAGATGGCGCTGGGACTGGCCCTGCTGGGTGCTGTGTCATTGCAGCAACTGCAGTCGTTCCCCAAGCTCTGCGATGTGCAAAACTTCGACGACTACCTCCGGCAGACGGGTAAGGTGTACTCGGATGAGGAGCGGCTCTACCGGGAGAGCATCTTCGCGGCCAAGATGTCGCTGATCTCGCTGAGCAACAAGAATGCCGACAGCGGCATCTCCGGATTCCGGCTGGGCGTGAATATGCTGGCCGACATGACCAGAAAGGAGATATCCTCCTTGCTGGGCTCCAAGGTCTCCGAGTTTGGCGAGTAAGTAGCAGCTTGTGACTCAGTGCCAGTCTCCTTTAATCATCAACGAATTATCACCCAGCTTATAACTTTCAAACGGGTTTGGGTCTATCATCTACATGATTTGTAATATTACGTTGGTGCCAATCGTTTTGGCCGGTTTGCCAATTAAGAAGTAATGAATTTATCAAGAAATTCCGACCATAGGTTTGTGGTTTACCAAAAACTTTAAGCCAAATGGGTGGAAGCAAACAAAACCCTACCTTGTTGAGCTAATTTATTACTCACTATGTGGTGGGGCACCAAAGCTAAAGTTTCATGATGCGGTTGTTCATCATATATGTTTGTATTTATTACTCAAAACATTATGAATAAAAGATATTTGTATAATTCATTGCCACCGTATAATCTAAACCATTCCACACTTTCATATTTAATTTATGATAGTTATGGTTTTACTAATTGAATTTAATCTTTAGAAAAACGATTACTAATATGTATATACTAACTTGCACTCTTAACTTGCAGGAGATACACGAATGGCCATATCAACTTTGTAACTGCCAGGAATCCGGCGAGTGCCAATCTCCCGGAGTCGTTCGATTGGCGCGAGAAGGGAGGCGTGACGCCGCCCGGATTCCAGGGTGTGGGATGCGGTGCCTGCTGGTCGTTCGCCACAACGGGATCCCTTGAGGGTCACATTTACCGGCGGACTGCAGTGCTGGCCTCGCTGTCGCAGCAGAACCTGGTGGACTGTGCCGATGACTATGGCAACATGGGATGCGACGGTGGCTTCCAGGAGTACGGTTTCGAGTATATTCGCGATCACGGCGTCACGCTGGCCAACAAATATCCGTACACGCAGACGGAGATGAAGTGCCGCCAGAACGATACCGTCGGCCGCCCACCGCGCGAGAGTCTGGTGAAGATCCGCGACTATGCCACCATTACGCCGGGAGATGAGGAGAAGATGAAGGAGGTGATAGCCACGCTGGGTCCACTGGCCTGCTCCATGAACGCGGACACCATTTCGTTTGAGCAGTACGGCGGTGGAATCTACGAGGACGAGGAGTGCAACCAGGGCGAGGTGAACCATTCGGTCACCGTGGTGGGTTATGGATCGGAGAACGGACGCGACTACTGGATCATCAAGAACTCATACTCGCAGAATTGGGGCGAGGGCGGCTTTATGCGCCTCATCCGGAATGCAGGCGGATTCTGCGGCATCGCCAGCGAGTGCAGCTATCCCATACTGTAGGCATACCAGTTAGATACATAGATAGTATAGACAATTACAAGCCACGAATTTATAACATTGTTTCTTTTGTTAATAAATGAAACAAGTTCCTTATCGCTTTGCGTTCTTTAGTTTTTCGAAAAACCTGGGAGTATAGATCGTAGACTTAACGGCTATTCTATGGACATATTTGTTTTGAAAATATGTTCTTGATGAAGAACAAGTCTGTGTGGAAAAGTGCTGGTGAAACTAATAAATTTCAATTGGGCAAGGTGGATAGCACTTGAAATTAAATTAAAGATAAACGATTATATAACAAGAGATAGGCCTATCGGCGGGTGCCACGACTATTGTATACCCATGACGCTTCTTGCAGCGCTTCGTATGTGAACGCCGTTACCCTGGAAAGCGCTACCAGCAACGTTTTCAATAAAAACACTTTATACACCAGCCGTTCCATACCTTTCAACGAACCTAGTATGCCCGTCGGGTAATGGGTATATAAACAAAAGCCGGGCTTAAATTGCCAATTAATTTAATTCAATATTGAGCGAAAGAACATAAACCAATTATGGCAGTTCTTATATAGTGGGTGAACAAGGTCACGTAAATGCAGTTACTCTTTCGAATGATCCATTTTTAAGAGAAAAGAGAGGCAGACTAGATTAGCGGTTCTCGTTGGAGGTTTTTATTACTGTTGCTCTCTGAATGCAGCTGAGTTGTGAGTACTTGCAATTATATACATACACATGCATGTATGTATCCCCTATAAAATTGGCGATTCTCGCAGTCCAGAGCGCAGTACGAGAAAAGTTTTCAAGATGAGCTCAGCTCTTATCCTGTGTCTGATCCTGTATTTGATGGGCGTGGCTGTGGGTGCACCAGCGAGCACATCACCTGAAAAGCCAAAACTCAATTTAGAGATTGAGGTTACTGCTGGGGAAAGCCCCACTGACTCATCGACTTCTGGCTTATCTGAGTTCGAGAAGGAATGCGAGATAGCATGGCAAAAGTTCTTGGTAAGCTCCATGTTCATATGCTTCCAGGAATGGATTGTTCGAGAAAGTTTTATATATACTAGGTCGACTTTGATGTGCACTACAAAAATGACAGCTTAAAGCCAGAAATCACTAAAGAATCAGCCAAGGACGAGAGCGACGATAGCCAGGATGCCAGGGAAAAGTTCTTGGTAAGATCAGCTAAGGTATTCAAACCAACTGCAAATTACAATGCATGTCTGAATTACAGATTAACTTTAGATCGAAACATAAAGATTCATTTGAAGCAAAGAGACGACGCGGTGTATTTTGTGGAAACTGGAGGGCGAGTCTGGAGGGAAATGTGCAGTATGATAAGACGACTGATCGTGCCCTTGGGAATCAACCGAGAATCCATCCCGCTCCCGAGATTTCTAAGGAAGAAATCAGCACATCTAAGTCCAAGATAAACCATGATGATAACACATGCCAGGCGGCTTGGGAGAAATTTATGGTAATATATGGATGCAAGTTTAAAGAATTTTGATTAAAGTTGCAGTTGTCAATTGCAGATTGACTTTAAGCGGAAATATGAAGATGATAATGAAACCAAACAACGCCGAAATATATTTTGCGACAACTGGAATTCCATACAAAAGCACAATGTTCAATACGATTTGGGAAATATTTCCTTTAGGAAGGGCATAAATCAGTGGAGTGATCTTACCGTAGAGGAGTGGAAGAAGAAACAACAGCCTGACTTTAATACAGAGCTTTCTAAGCTTGAAAACACTACAAAAATATCTAAGGATATCAATACATGTCAGGCTGCATGGAACAAGTTTCTGGTAATATTTGGTTTGCAATTTAATTAGAACTAACTTATTCTATACACATTACAGATTGACTTTGGGCCAAAATATTCTGACGACACAGAAACTAAAAAACGCCGAAATATATTTTGCGACAACTGGAATTCAATACAAAAGCACAATGTTCAATACGATTTGGGAAATATTTCCTTTAAGAAGGGCATAAATCAGTGGAGTGATCTTACCGTAGAGGAGTGGAAGAGCAAACAACAGCCTAATTTATCTCCAGAATTTTCAAGATAGGAACCGACTACAAAAATGGAAAATATCACAAAAAAAAATTTTAAAAATTAATTTCTAAATTTCAATGCAGATTTTTAGAGAATTGCGCCAGAAACATTTAGAGGTATGCCACTTCAAAATCCGATCAAGATAAGTTGAGTTATGGAGTTGAGAACTTCAGCCTTAGGGCATTTCTTAGTTTTTTGGACTTTGTACAACATCAACACATCAAAAAATGACATAAAAATAAAAAAAAAAAAATTTCTAAATTTGAATGCAGATTTTTAGAGAATTGTGCCAGAAACATTTAGAGGTATGCCACTTCAAAATCCGATCAAGATAAGTTGAGTTATGGAGTTGAGAACTTCAGCCTTAGGGCATTTCTTAGTTTTTTGGACTTTGTACAACACAACACATCAAAAAATGACATAAAAATTAAAAAAAAATAAATTTCTAAATTTGAATGCAGATTTTTAGAGAATTGCGCCAGAAACATTTAGAGGTATGCCACTTCAAAATCCGATCAAGATAAGTTGAGTTATGGAGCCTTAGACCATTTCTTAGTTCTTTGGACTTTGTACAACATCAACACATCAAAAAATGACATAAAAATTAAAAAAAAATAAATTTCTAAATTTGAATGCAGATTTTAGAGAATTGCGCCAGAAACATTTAGAGGTATGCCACTTCAAAATCCGATCAAGATAAGTTGAGTTATGGAGTTGAGAACTTCAAAAATTTGTTACACTGCGAGTAACGGGTATATTAAGCAATACAACAGTCTTTTAAATACAGGAAAAATATTGCAACTAACGCAAAGAGAATACTTTACCGATTTTGGGTTGATTTTTAAAAATATGTATTTATTATTTCTTGAGGGGCTGTCCAGTTGAGAATCTTGCTTGAGGAGTTTATCTATTACAATAGTGTTTCGCAAATGTTCAAGCCGATTTTGGGCCGGGTTCGCTATTTAAATCGATCATTAAGTTTTAAATGAGTAAATTTTGTTTTATGTTTCTTTCTCTACTCTTTTTATAACGCACACGAACTCTACATGATTAATTTATACTTGTATATTTGCTGAGATCCCTATCTCCTTGTTGCATTTAACAGGGCGCTTCGTATTACACATACAATCCGTAAATATATATAATATATAATATATGTATATAGTATTTAATTTAACAAATACATTTGTAGGTTATCGCAAGTTGCTGCACTAAGTGAACATTTATGTAATCAATATGTTTACATTCATTGATATCGATCTGAGTATATCGAAGTGGCCAACACACCCACTATTTTTCTGCTGGGGAACCGCTTCTTTACAATGCGTAATGGGTACTGTTTGGGCATTTATAGTTACTATACAAATCTTTTGGTAGTGGGGAGGGGGGGCAACAGTAAGCCTTGAACGTGCCCCATACCATTTCATTTCGGCGTGTTTTGCGAACCATAACTAGAAATATTCCTGCAGTAATCTCCCGTAATCTACTGAATCCCTCACAACAATTCTACGGTTATAGTATTGATCTCTTACGGCTTAGAATTTACATATTGTTTGGCGTTTATTGTAGTGGTTGCACTGCTGCTCATCTAACCAAGCGTCGACCCTGGCCAAATGGCTATTTGTTGTTGGGTAAATCTCCGATGGTAAATTGGATATGTGGCTTGAGCAGTGGTTCGTATGTCTTTCAACTATTTGCACTGCACGTGTGTAAATTTATCTAAAAAACATCATGTTTCCCTCTGTCTCGAGCTATTGCCATTGCTAACAAGCTGATTATCGGGGGACCAGGGCCTGGCACAAATCAAATCATATTTGGTACGTACACGTAAACACTAAATAACTAACAACGTTGAAAGCGCGGGTTGCATGTATACATATGGGATATATAACTAGTTGTATATCTGTATAATATATTGCAACAAATTTCCACTACAAATACTGCACACTCAACTTAAAGGGCTAGCTTACGAGTTATTCAAACTATTCATCCGATCCATCCCACATCGGATATATCCCCTGCAATATCTCCCAATAGCTAAAGCCAGTGCGTGGATTGGATTCTGCTGCTGCCTGCTTGTTGCATCATTTGGTATTGTTATTGTTTCGGTTACTCTTGTTATATGTTCGACATCGGTGTATATGGTAAAGCCAACTTGTGTGTTGTAGCTGTTTAGTCGTGTAAATCCTTGCCAGTTGCACTACAAAATCGAAGTGAGTGTGTGCGGACAACGGAGGAGCAAGTGTGTAATTCCTTAGTAGGTGGGCTGCTGGTACTCCAATCCGGATTGCTGCTGCTCCATGCCTCCTGCGGGTAAAACTCACATTAATCAGGTGCCCAATGGGGTGAAATCTTATATATATTTCAACGTATTAAACACAATGATGCAGAACTGAAGAGGTTATATCACTGGTTGCATTGCATTGGACCATGAACTCACCCTGCTGGGGCTGGCCAAATGGTGAGGCGCTGTACTGATCGTTGTCGTTGTCCATGGAGTATCCGTAGGCCTGCTGGTGGACCACGTTGGCCGGGTCCGTTTCGAAGGCAGAGGTGAACTCGTCGCCGGCGCCGATCAGGAAACGCTTATAGGCCATCAGGGCGCACAGAGCCTGCGGAAAGAAGCCAGAATTGAGCAAACTAGCCACTAAATGGACGGAAATCTACTAACCCAGCTTACGATCGAGAAGAGGCAGAACCAAATGGCGGTCTTCATGCTGCCAGCTCCGATTCCCAGCGGCGGTGGGGGTGAGGAGCTCCATTGGGACCACAAGTACAGGAAGGCCACGAAGTACATGAAGGTCCAGAAGGCTGACGACGGATTGCCATTAGTTATGTGTTGTCAGCAGGAGTATACGTAATCAGAACTTACCCGAGAAACCCATGTCGGCCATGACGTAACGCTTTCTGCTCTTCACCGACGACATCCGTTCGAACAGGAACTCGCCACCCATGAAACCCATGGAGGCCAGGAACCCAAAGACGCCCACCATGTTGCCATACTTGCAGGCCATGCCGTCGCCATTATAAAGGCAGTACTCCTTGCCATCCTTCTCCGTCCAGCCCTCCGAGGATATGCAGCCGAAGACCACCACCGAGAAGAGCTGAAAAATCAAGAAAATTCCCAATGAATGAGGGCGCCCATTAACTTTAAATGGTCTTTTTATATGCACACAGAAATGTTGGAATCAACTATAAAGCTTTATTGTCTTTAAAATTGTAATGTATAGAAAGAAATTTGTTCTAAAAGTATGATCTGATATTTGAACAGCTTTTGTACGTTCAGTAACAAGTTCTGCTGATTAACCAATTATCGGATTTTGGCTTTCGAATCATCATTTTATTATGTTGATATAGAACTCGCACTTCGCTATTGATTTTCGTAAGCAGGTGCAACAAACCAGAAGTTCAAGTACACAGACAACGCGGCAGACACGTACTTATGTTTGTGACCCAATTTCCGGATTGAAGGCCAAGTTTGGTTTGTTTGGCCAGGAAGAAAAGGGCGGGAATGGTTCTGCCATCGCAGAGTCCTTGCTCAAAAGAGTGGGCAAATATTACGTATACACAAATGGAAAGCAAACAGGCGGCGAGCCACCGCCCCCTCGTTTATGCCGTTTTCCCACTTCCCTGCTGACGCACATCAAGTCGATGGTAAAATAAGGTCCTAAGCCTAGTGGCCAATTGCCCGGGCACCTTACCACATTTAATTATAAAGCTTTCATGGACGTGAGACTTTTTATGGTCCCTCTGCAGCTGAACACTAGAGCGCACTCCCACTATTTAGTGGCACAAATAACACACAAATCGGACTTTTGAGCGCCACTGTGGCAGCATTCACGATTTTCTGGGATTCTGAAATTACGCACGCTTTTTGCAACATTTACGAGCAAGCATTTTAGCGAAATGGCACATAAAGGCCTCGTTTAACGCGTCAATTTAAAAGCAGTATTTATAAAAACCTAGTTTTATTAAAAGCCTTGGGAAAAGAGGCATTTATATGCTTGCAACCCCGATTGATGCTTTTAATTTTAGGGTTTCAGAAATATACCAAAGAAAATTACATTAATTCTGAAATCCCAAAATTTTAAGCTCTAAGAGGGCAATAAAGCAGAAAAGAGTTGGCTTACGCAATAAGTATGAATTTAAGAACAGGTATATTTCAGCGAGAGTCCAAGGAAAATTAAGAACCCATGCACAAGGACCAAGAAGGACTCGGCTCTCGCATGAGTTCATGAATTATGCGCGGTGTAAACAGTGTGACAATCGGGTCATGTGAGTGGCGTGTGCGTCCACAAATCCCAGCGATTCCCCGGACGCAGCTTGTCTTGTCCCAACCCCAACTCACCCAGCAGAGGGCCCTGATGACCACTTGGGGCTTCATGGCGAACGTGAGGGGGTCGAAGGCGCCGCCAGCCTTGCCGCCCCCGTAGGCGCCACCGTTGTTGATGCTGAGTATCTGGTTGAGCATGTCCATGTTGATATGATGGGTATCTGCAGCTCGGGTTGCACGGTTTGTTCGGTTTGCACGGCTTGCTGAGGGGCTCTCCGCCTGGCGTTTTCACTGGCTGTTGTGAAAAATCGAACGCTTCTTGGGTCCGTGGGGCCAAGGGCAAAGTGGGGGCGGCTCACCCACTGCTGTGTGTGTATATGTATATAAAGCGTGCGTGGTGTGGGTGGGTGCGCTCGAGTGCCTTCTCGCAGTTATGGATTACGGAACTGAATGACAATCTTTACACACAATAGTTTATTTGTTTGCCCACTCGCAGACTTCAGATTCAAAATTTCGGCTATGCGCGCACACAAACAATACACAGCACTCGCTCGTGTTTCAATCAATGCATAATTGATGAACAAATTTCAAGGGCCTGATTTTCACTTTTACTTTTTGCCAGCTTCGCTCTCAACGGAATTTCGACTGCCAGCGCGCAGGACTCTTGCCAAATAAAAAGTATCTCAGAGCTGCAAGAATCGAAGCGCCTTACTTGGGGCTCTGTTAAGCTCGCGCTTACAGCGTGCTGTTAAGCGCAGCCAGTGGGACCATCCTTGACTTTTAGTTCAAATTGGCATTTTCGATTGTGGGGGAAACACAATAAATTCATTGTTGTAAGGATTCATCTTGCATTTGGAGCACATTCAATGGCTGCGTTTCACAAAGCGAACATCTGCTGGTGCAGCTACCAGCCAAGTCCCTACAAGGAGATACGTCGGAAGATACAAAATTATTGTGCGCTAAATAGGCAAAGTGCTTGGAATCTACCAAAATTTCAGGTGCGTAATGTTGGTCATGAATAATATCAAAAAATATAATATAATAGATTGTGCAAATATAAGCAACACAACAATTGAAAGCATTAAACGGAGGAATTTATAAAAAAACTCATTTTGAGTTTGACAAATGTTTGACAAATTCCTAATTTGACATTTAACTTAAAACTGCAGAGCTCCCAAGACATATTGTTTAATAATGGACCAAAGGTGCCAAAACTCTGCGATAAGGAGATCTACGAAATTTGCTGTAATAGCAAGAAAAGAAATTCAAATTTTAAGAATGAAGAAGATAGTTTTAGGATAGAAAATAAACATTTTTTGCCTGAAATGGAAGCCCCAAGAAATCATGCACCGGAAAATCAAAAGAACAGCAGAAACCCCGCTGAGATTGGAGGTCAATCTTTGCTTCCTGGACAAAGAATTCCCCCTTATGCAACACCGATATCAATAGCTAAAAGACCACTGGTTTCGGCAAGTCCCAGGATTCTCTTCTCCCGACCCTCCCTACAATTGTCCTTATCTGAAAGCAAATCTCTTAACTATACCACACCAACATTGCTAGCCCAACGACCTACCACCCCTAAAAAGCACAAAAGGCGCGAGCAGCATCGAAAAAAGCTTAAGGAAAACGTCCAAGTCCAGGATTCGAAAAAGCAGGAGTCTATAAAACAAGATCGGCCCAGTAAACGCAAGGGTGGGGACAAATTTCAACATCAATCTGACTTAAATAAAACTCAAAATGCTCCGCAGGACCTTCGATTGAACAAGAAGAGTGATCATCATTATCGTAACGCCTTGGGACAACCGAAACTTGAAAGAATTCGCGAAATGAAAAAGCAGAAGTCATTTGCTAAAAACTCAGAGCAGGCTCTGTTTAAGCAATTATCCACAGAAAGGGTAACCAAGAGCAATCTAAGGAGAACGGGGCAACTGGACACATCTCTGGGCATTTACAGAAAGATTAAGGAGGACAATAAACCTCAGGTGGGTTTCAAACCTTATAGCTCTATGCTCGAGGAGGTAAATGGTGAGATGTCTAAACACTTTTCGACACTGAGGAGCATGCACGAACTGAAAGTCCCAGTCCCTGAACAGAGCCCACATAGACGTACTTCAGACCGAAGTACAACTCCGTACACAGAAACCTTTGATGAAATGCTGCGTGGTAAAATTTCAGAGTTTCATCCAATCCTGAAATCATCTAATCGCCTGGAAATTGCATCAACAATGAGTAAGAAAATCAGCAAAAATCGTAAAGGCAAAACCGTCAATGTGGGAGCCAAATTTTCGAGGGCATCCAAGAATACGCTAAAGGGCAGGCTGAGGACCGAAACAAGGACCTTTGATGAACTGATAACTGACCGCGATATGAAGATGCCCGAACGTCTTCCTCTACTGAAGAGCAGGACTCTATTGGGTTCCACGGTAAGCATACACGAAACAAAAGGACTTAGCAAGTCCAAGCCAAGAAAAAATCCAGAGCCCAGTAGCCTTCGTGCTACCGAAACCCACAGACATATGAGCGGCGATAAAGCGAACGAAAGGCACTCAAAACCATTTGGAAAAATGCTAAGGGGCAAGGAAATGATCATACCAGAGCTAAACCGGGCTTTGACCAGCCACTTTCGAATAAACCATGCTGGGCAAACCACTAGTTCAAACTGGATGGACCAGGACCCAATAGCGTCTACACCACCCTTTGCTGAACAGGAAGTTTTGCAGCCATCTGAGAAAGTATTAGCAACGGAAAAGCGCGTGGATGTGCGGCCTTCCCACCAGATATCTATTATAAAAAAGCCTGAAATCTGGCAAACTTTTAGGGAACACTCTGTGATGAAGGAACCTGAAGTCTCCCAAGACTCTGCTACAGTTCCGTTGGCTCCAAAACCCAAAAATAGGATTACTACGGCCCAGCCTAAGAGCAAATACCAATCTAGTACATCAAGTGAGTTCTCGCTACGTTCAATTCGTTCTTCAAGGCATCGCGTTTCTCCTGCTCCTGGAAGGAAGATTAAACTAAAGAAATTTAGTTACTACATAAAGAATTCAGTGCCAGATCGGAGAATACTAGCCCAGATGAACTCCAAGTATCCAATTTCCTACTTGAAAAGCGAGAGAACCACTTTCTATGGCAGGACACCGAGTCAGACTTCCTCGGATAGGTACCAACAATCTGTAGGATCAGTAATTAGCACTGCGGGCATTGCCCAATCCTTGATAGCTAAACAGAAAAGGGAAATTAATAAGCACGAGGCCTTGGATGCGGACGAACACTTGTTCGAGTCTTTTCCAGATGACTACGATCCGCTTGATGGCATAAAGAAAACAATGAGCGACATTATAGCCGGTGTGGCAAAGGAGGAGAAATCCTACAAGAAATCCCAGTCCAAGCGGTCCAAGCACAAGGCCAAGACGCATGATCCTGCCGATCCTGCCTTGGGAGCATTTAGTGATCGCCAGAGCATCTTATCCCTGCGGAGGACGAGCCAGGAGGTCAAGACCCGTGAGAGTCAGGCTCTCAAGGATCTGCATATGCGGGAACAGGTGCATGAGACCTTCTATGCCAAGGAAAGGGCCTCTGTGCAAGCACGGATTGAAAAACTGATGCAGGAGGTCGCCATCCGCGAGGACTTTCGACCCAAGAAAAAACCTCGGGATTTTGTGACGGAAAATATCGTCAGGCTAAGTAATATGCCACCGACTAAAGGATCCCTTGCGGTGGAGAACGGTAAGCCGCAAAAGAAGTACCCCTCTTTGATTAGGATACTAGCACCACACGAATACCCTGTAAATCTCTCAAGAGTCCCCAAGATTCCCGAGGTAAATATGTGTCCGGCAACGGATCCGCCGAAACCCATAAGAATACGTCTATATTCCGACAAAATCTGGAGGGACCAGATGAATACTTATCAATCAGAAATGAAGAAGCCCTCTGCAGATGCTAAAGTTTGTCGCTTGAGTGAACGGAAAAAATGTGATTGCTACCTATGCAAATTGCTCTTAAAGGGTAAGTTAATCGATCTTGTGTCTTCATCTCAGCAAATAGTTGAACTTCCTTTAGGCAAACATCAACGAGAATCCCACTTTATTCAGAAGGCAAAGGCCCAAAGGCGCCGATTAGAACTTCGTTCGTATTATCTTGAACTGCGAAAAAGAGAACGGGAACGAGGGATGTGTTGCCCTTAGATATTCTGAAGTATAAAATGATACAGGGTAGTCCTAGAAGCGAATATTAATCTTTGGAAAGTCACGAGACAGTGATCTGCTTACCCTATGATTGTCCTTAGATTAATCTTTGATTCTAGGAACATTTTTAATATGGTAATACGTTTTAAAAAATAACTGACACATTTGTGGATCGATCCACCAAGCTTTGTAGGACTAGGTTAGTTTTCCAATTTTTCAGTTTTAATACAACAAAATTTCCCTTTCGAGATGAATATTTTAAGTGCTCTGAAGATAAAGAAGCTCAACATGCTAAATACCTGCACCTCCTACTACGACTTCCTGAACTGTGCACCCAACTGTCTGGATCCATTGAGCTGCTCAACTGTGCCGCGCGATCCGCCTTCGCAGCTGGAGTTTAAGCGTCCTCCCAAAGTGGTCAGAAGTGGAGTGCAGTACTTCGATGTGGATGACAAGGCGGCGCAGTGGTATCTCGACACCCGCCGATCCGCAGCCGAAAGAAAGCCATGCAAAAGGAGGTTCTGCTTCAGGTTTCATGTGCCCATACGACATGCTCTTCATCGAACGGATAAGGCGGCGACTTACGCCCTGCCAGGACGGCGGGTGTCCCCCGAGTTCCTTAGCCTACTCAGGCAGCACCACGCCAGGATGCGGGGTCTGGAGAGGCTGCCGCGAAAGTACCGGTCACGCAAGCCCAACTTCTCCTACTACAAGTACGATGCGGCGGGTAAGAGCCGGCACATGCGACCTGGCATTTCTACAGCTGCACCTGTGGAGTTTCCTTGCACCAATGTGAACTGCATTCGTCACAGGGTCTGCTCATGTCCTCCGAAAAAGGAAAGTCCCCCACAGGCCCCGTTAAGTCAGGCGGATTCCAATCCTCCTGTATCCCACACAAAGCCCAGGAAAACGCGCTACTCGCCTATTGGTAAAGAGAAAGCAGATGTTTTAGTGAAAAAAGGTGAAAATGGTGCTAGGGACAACCCCAAGGCAAGGGACAGCCAGCACATGTTTAAGTTGCACAGAATTTATGCGAGCAATCCATCCTTAATGCCACCGGTAGCTAATCAAGACCCCCCTAAGCCAATTGCATCGAAATCACAACCTAGTATGAATCCCATGGAAGAGATGGGCAGCTGTCCCTGCTCAATTGAGCAGCCCAAAACCCGAGTTCCACCCATATGTGACGGTAAAAATGTTAAGCCCAAAAGGATTCGTGATCCTCGTTGCATTGAGTACGAGAATAGGCCTTTCTTCAAAGCCATCAAGGGAACTACCTACCGATCCCGAAATAGAAATAAGAAACCAAGGAACTTTGGTAAGAAGAACTGCTGTGAAGACCAGAGTAAGACTCAGGCGGATGACCAGGAAGATCCGCCCTCAGAGAACACTTTCTACTCATCCGTCTCCAATCATCAGGAACTTGGTCTGGAACATCGCAAGCGACCCGACCTCCATGATCAGAACGATATTGAAATCCCACCAAACCGTCAAGGAAATAGCCTCGGCTATAGAGGTTTCATTCATCGTTCCGAACAGCAGAAACTTGTTGATCGGGGCTGTGCTCCAGTCCCGAAGTGCAAGAGTAAGCCACCGCCATATTGCTACCTCTGGTCCGCCGTCGATCCGGATATTCGGAAGGCGGAGAAGCGTCGTCTCGCGGAGCACAATTGGTGCCAGCGGCAAATGTTTCCAGACAGTAAACCTTACTCCTACTACTGGTCCACAACGAATCCGGATGTAAGGAGCCAGGTGAAGCGGCGATTGAGGGAGGCTGACAGCAGGCGCAGTTGTGGGGTGCCCCGAAGGAGCATCCAACCACCCACATGCAGTGAGGATTATTCAGATCGAAGTGAAGGTATATGTACCTGCAGCAGATCTACACTTCATCCGTTCTTTGAGATAACTAGCTCAGATTCTTTTGATCACCACAATCATTTGTCTTGTTCTCGTGGCAAGAAACTGAAGTCATTTGGCCTAGGACACAGTAGAAATGGGAAAGGAGCACCAAATGACTGTTTACTTGACTGGAAAGAGCACAATCATTCCACAAGTAAAATGATCCGTCCTAGATGGCCGGAACTCATCTCGAGAAAGTTATTCGCAGACTCAGATAGGCATCTCTCAAAGAAACCACGCCTGCTGCCCAGACTACATGCATTTGCCAAGCGATTTCTCTGGTCAGGATCTAAGGCAATTGAGTTCAAGTCCAACCAATCGGGCAGCGAAAGACCTAGACCCCGATCTATAAGTATCAGGAAGGCTAAGTCCAAGGAAAGGGAAACTTCTGATGTGGACCATCAGAAAGATAACCAAACAGCGATGTGCAACGAAACCAACTCTTCAGACAGGAAAATCATCTTCAGGGATCAGGCCAGTATCCGGGACATACGGGACCCAAGAGATCCCAAGTTATGGTCTAAAACAGTAAAGAAAAGTGTAAGAGCCAAACGCCCACGTTCCTCGGGCTCAGAAACCATTACGTACAGAAGGAGCACCAACTCCTCCTTTGGGCTACCAACCTGTTCCAGACGATCACCAAGAGCCAGGTCCCAGGCAAAGAAGTCCCCGCTATGTAATGAAAGGTGTTCCCCAGACAGTGGCAGTCATGGGAGCAGCCACTCAAGTGATTGTCTAACCACCTGTCGAGTTCCTCATCCTTTGGTATCCCGGGCCCAGCGGGAGTGGGAGGAACACCGGAAGCGAAAGAGGGCTAAGGTAGAGGAATGCAGACCATGCACAGATTACTTACTCACCTCACGGCCAACGGAGCCACAAGCTCCGGGCATACGTCGAGGAGTGGTTACGTATCGAAACTATGAGTTTACCACGGAACTAAGTGATCCCTGCGTGATCGAGCCAAAGGGAAAACGTTTCCGATTTACAGAACAGTATCCCATGCACAGGGATAAACACTATGCACGGTCACGAAGTTATCGTCACTGCGCTCGATGTTGCGATGATTCCGATGATGCCTCCAGGCACAAAACTCCACAAGGCTCGAGAAGGATGCGGGGAGGTATAGATTTTCATATTATGGAATATGAATATTCTTCACGAAGGCCACGCTACACAGCGCACACCTTTCCAAAAAGCTTGCCTTTCAAGCTCGAAAGCAACGAGAGGGGACATTCCCCAAAACCATGGAACTCGTCCAAGCACTTGTTTTGTTTCGACTAGAAGTAGGATAATCGGTCAAGCAAGCCGACTGTCAAGTGGCTATACCATCTTTATAGAAATGGATTACCACCTGACATGCGGACTAGCATGTCACATATACTAATGACAAATATGATACATTGTTCATTTTCAAATTATCACGATTAAAGTTTTAATTGCGTGGAAACAACTGTAGTTTTAGATAATATAAATGCAAAGCTGGCTGGGAGGGATTAGGGTAGCATCCCCTTTTACTCGTTGGTAAACTTGGCAGGGCGCTTCTCGGCGAAGGCTGTCATGCCCTCCTTGCGATCGGCCTATTGGGTGTCAGAAAATAAAAGAGATTAGATAGTGTTGACCAGATATTAGAACTTGAACTAACCGTGGAGAACGTGGCATGGAAGGTGCGACGCTCGAACTTCAGGCCCTCCTGGAGGGTGGTCTCATAAGCCGTGTTAACGGCCTCCTTGCACAGCTGCACGATCAGATTGGAGTGGGTGCCGATCTTCTCGCCCAGCTTGACGGCCTCGCCCAGTAACTGGTCGGCGGGCACCACTTTGCTGGCCAGACCCAGCTTCTCAGCCTCCTGGGCGCCGATCATGTTGCCGGTGAGGCACATCTCCATGGCCTTGGTCTTGCCAACGACGCGGGTGAGACGCTGGGTGCCACCGGCTCCGGGAATGGTGCCCAAGGCAATCTCGGGCTGACCAAACTTGGCCTTGTCACCCGCATAGATGATGTCGCACATCATGGCCAGCTCACAGCCACCGCCCAAGGCGTAGCCATTCACGGCAGCAATAATGGGCTTCTGGGTGCGGGCCACCTCGGTCCAGTCGTTCAAGAAGTTGCCCTGGATGCACTGCGAGTAGGTGTTGCCCACCATCTCCTTGATATCGGCGCCGGCGGCAAAGGCCTTCTCACTGCCCGTCAGAACGATGGCGGAGATGCTCTGATCCTTGCCGAATTGCTGCAATGCGGTGGACAGCTCCTTCATCAGGCCATTGCAGAGGGCATTCAGGGCCTTGGGGCGGTTCAGGGTGATCACGGCCACGTTCTTGCTCTCGCCGGCCACTTCGGTCTTGATGTACTCCCAGTTGTTGGTGGCTAAAAAGAGATGGCATCATAAATGAGGTGATCGTATATACGCGAATGTTACGCAATCAATGTTTATTTCGCCTGGAAAACTATAAAAGAAGGCGGCCAGAAACCGGCATTGGATATCTTGATTTTCCGGCTTAGGGTGGAGCTGGGCATCACTTGCGTGGACTTTGATCCCCCCAGTTCCGCCTATACTTACAGGAGCTGCTGAAGCGGGTGGCCACCTGTGGCTGGCGGGCGGCTGCCTGCAGGACGCCCTGGGCACGGCTGGCGAAGATCTTAGCAATGTTGGCCATTTTCAAGGGAACTCTGAGCCGGCTGCAAGTGCAATACGTTATCTAATCGGTTGCGGTATCTCTGGCATGGAGCCACTCTAGAACTTGGGACACTTACGCTGCGAAGCACTGGAGCAATATTGGCGCACTCGTGGGATGGTGTGACCGCGTGAGCTCGCAGCAGAAATGCCATTATTTCCAGTCACTGGTTCGGTCACAGTTTGAGTCACAGCAACAAGTGGTTTTCGCACTACAGCGGTTACAGCGAAATTCTACGCTTGATCATTATTTACAATGTAAAAACATAGTTAGAATGTTACTATATATTTGCAATATATAATTGCTCTTAGCGTTATACTGTAAGCTTAAAAATACATTTCAAATGATGCTGGAAACATCAGAAAGGATAACTTTTAATTACATTATTTGCTTAACATAAGCCCAGAGATTTTAAAATTAACAGTGCTTTTTATCAACAACTAAGTTGGTAAACAAGTGATCACAATTTTGGCTTTGTGAACATATATATGTATATCCCTAGACCTTTGCTATACCAGTTGGCTTGGGAAGATTACTGCTGGTCTCCACCAGCCAAATGTGCTCCTCACGTTGCCTTCTTGTGCCATTTTCCCGACGAACACGCCAAATTAGGAACACCAATACCACGATTAGGAAGCAGAATATTACTATCGCCAAGCTAAAAATATACGCTTGGGGTGCTACAAGTAAATGCCATTAATACAAATAAAGAGTAAATTAGTAAATATATGTACTTACTTTCACAGTAGGGAAACCTCCTAGCCCACAATGCGTCCTGGCAAACGTTCTGGTTGTCCCCTTTAAGCGTGTGCTCCGCCGGGCAGTCGTAGTAGATACGGGTGCCATTGGCTACTCTTGATCCTGCAGTGAGAATTGCCTGCGTGAAATGCCTAACTATCACGTTAGGCAGTTGTGGAACCACACACTCCATGTTCTCCTGAATGGGATTTGGTTGCAGTGGCTTCCGTGTCATAGCAGCAGTGGGAGTTATCCTATGAATACTACTCTCCGTGGAAGTTCTTGTCGTTGAACTGACCGTAGTCGTTGGTATAACAACGCCCTCGCAAAGGGACTCCAGCTCATCATCGCCATCCCGGCAATCGCGGATGCCATCGCACAACTTGGAGTAGGGCATGCATTGGCCAGAGGAGCAGTACATCTCCCAGTTGTCGCAGTTAGCCTGTTGCATCTGGGCGCGGCACAGCCAGCCCTGCTCATCCGATCCATCCACGCAGTCCTGGACGCCATCGCAAACCGCTGTGCTGGCTATGCACGCTCCGTAGCTGCAGCGGAAGGCATATCCCGGACACCAGACCTTCTCACACATGGCGGCCGTCTCATCGGAGCCATCCAGGCAGTTGGCCGTGCCGTCACATAACTGGTCCTGTTGGATACAGTCGCCTCCACCGCAACGATACCCGCAGCTAGTGGCGTTTGGCAGTGCCGAGCAAATGGCAACCGCCAAGGAGAGAAAAATCAACAGCTGAATGGATAGATTCTGATGCGCTCTGAACATTCTGAATGGGTTACAATCAACAGACTGCCGGCTCCATGGCGCAGCTAAGGGTATTATTACGGGAGCAGTCCAAACCAGTTTGATGATGATATGACGATAGAGGTGCATAAGTGTCTGTCATGGGCTTTTCTGAGCGGCAGAGAGTATTTTTAGCATGTATCAATGGACGAGCTTATCTTGTTTTAGATAATCCTATCAAATGGATATTCCCGAATTGTATCTAGTTTTCCATTGTAGTGATGCACATTTTATTGCGGAAGCACATAAAACATTCCCATTTACCATTTAAAAAGCATTAAAGTCCGGAAATATTTATCATATTTGTGGTTATTTTTAATTAGGAGTATAGAATGGTAAGTTTCCTAAACAGATTTGAAAAATGTTCTACCTTCTCGAAAAAAAGTAAAAGAACTTTTGTGGTATAAGAAGTTGTATATTCCTTTCGTTTATTCATAGGTTTGTTCATTGTTCTTATTGCTTTTCAAATGCATATTTTACTTTATTTCTCTGGTGAGTATACTTACGTTAGTACGAATAACGTGCTTTAGTTTATAGTAGAACGTGGTAATTATAAAGAAAAGCTTATGGTTAGTTGGGTACAAATACAGCTCGGGGTTGGCTGGCCGGAAACAAAAAACTGCAAATACTTGAAGTAAACTTAAGTAACACGTCAAATGCTTTCCAACAAGGAAAGTCAAGTTATTTCTTATGCGCAGATGCCGGCGGTGTGCCGTAAAACTTCCGCTTCTTTATGGTACCGCCTTTGAAGGGAGTAGCTGTGTGAAATATAACAATTAGAATAATGAATCGAATGAACTCATAAAGAACCTACCATATAACGAAAGCAAATCATTTTTGTTGCTGGGCACCCGCTTGATCACTGTGGCCGGCGTTCTTGTCGGATCTATAACGATATATTGCTCCCAGAACGAAACGGGCAGCTCAAGGAGTGCCTTCATCACCTGATTCTGGGTGAAAACTTCCGTGTAGATCGCATGATGATCGGGATTTGGTGTGGAGTAACCCACAATGGTGGGGCCAAAAATGAGCGAGATGTTATCGATCGGCATTAGCACGACTGGGCACTGGGCAATTCGCTGGAAGTGCAGTATGAGGAAGGCCAGCGTGTCCCTATTGGCTTGAGGTAGCTGCTTCACCGACTTGATCAGAATATCCTGCGATGTTTTGGTGTCAGGATTTTGGACTGCGTTTGCGAAATCCTTCCACTGGCTAGTAGGAATAAGAGGCTCTGTTAGGGACCTCAGAAAATCCTTAACACAACAGCACAGCACATAGATATCGGTGTTGCCCAAATGAGGAGTTGCCTTGCCTCGCAAAAACTGCTCCTTGAGGGCCTTGTACTCCCGCTCCGACGAGGACAACCGATAAAGGCCTACCTCGGTGAGGCCGCGGGCCTCAATCTCGTTTACGCAGTGCACAACCAGTGCCGGGATCATGGGTGCAATGGATGGTGCAAAGTCTGAGACATAGCCAGTCAAGGTCTTCGTTGTGGGTGTTCCCGTTTGTGGCACACAGCTAACGGTGAGCAGATACCGGCAATCAATGTGACAGCGCACCGGGCAGTCCCGACATCTCAGGCCAACGGCCCCAAACCGTATGCTAAAAGGTATAAAGGTATAATGAAGGAAAAACGTTCTTTGAGCAAAGCTTTTAGTAAGCCTACCGTTTCTGGCACTGGACGCAATTGTCGCCACGCAAGAATGTCTTCTGACTGAAGGTGTGGTTCCTCATCAGCGGACGGTGCTGCAAAGGCGTTCCGGACTCAGCGATCACGTGGGGTGCCATCGCATTTACCGGCGTCAGCGGCGGTGCGGTGGCCTCCTTAAGGACCGATCGCCGTGGCGTCGAGGACAGTCCATCGCCGATCTTCTCGTTGCCGCCAATCACGGGCAGCGACTCAATGGTCGACTCTGCTCGAATCACACCCTGTCCATCCTGCGGTATGGTGACTTTGGTAGTGGCACAAAAGCGCTCAGCGCCTTGACCCACGTCCACCGTGTGTTGCTCCACTCCGATACCGACGCCAGAGCGCCGCGACTTACCGGTGGTTGGTGTATTACCGGACATACTGCCATTGAGTCCTGTACTCAATCGCGATCTCTTGTTGCCGACGCTAGGAATCTGATTCTTGGGCAGCGAGGGACGATGTTCCCGCCAAGATTTTGATGTGCGCACATCGAGGAAGTCATCCTCGGAGTGTGTAATAGACAAATCGGACAGCAACGATCCGGTGGAGTTGATGTCGCCATAGGACTTGTCCTCCCGCACGGCGTTCAGGGACTTGCGCTTCCTCGACGAGGGCAGTGTGTGCAGAAAGGCCAGCTTGTCGCGGGTCTCGTTATTCAGATTGCGCTCGTGACGCAGCAGATCCGCCACAGCCATGATTTTGCCCTCCATGGCATCCCGTTCGTGTTCCGCCTGGCGACGCGCCTTGATCTCCATGTCGATGATGCGGCGTGCGTGAAACAGTTTGCCCTCCAAGTCGCCCATTTTGGTCAGCGACTTGTCCAGCTCGTTTTGGATCCTAGCCGTCTCGGCCGCGTAGCCAGCGCACTTTTCGTGGTACTGCTCGAACATGCGCAGGAACCGCAGGAACTCTATGTGGAATACAAGCATCATGTAGGGCTTCAATCGCCTCTCTATTGCTCTGCTTTACTCACCCTCCTCGGCAGTTCCATCGGTCAGCACTTGCATGCAGCGTCGCAGATCATCAAAGGACGCCAAGGCGGAGAGCGCCATTTTGCTTGTCTGCGTATTTCAGGGGATCGGTTTTCACTCGCAGGGATTGCCTGCACGCGGGTTGCTTTGATTCAACTTCGAGTTCTACTGAAAATCAGTACTATTTCCCCAAAAATAGAGTGGCAAACGGAGCACGCTGCAAAGGACGCGCTGAATTTTTTCAAGTTCCGTTGTTTTCAAATTGACGCCAACAGTGCAGTGTGACCGCTCGTGGATAGCTCGAAAAAACACGTAAGTCATGTAAAAAAAAAGTATCGCAATGATCGTGTTGCTTTATCAATTCTTTTCGATATATTAAATAATCAGCCGTCTTTTTTATTTTCTAGCTATCTGCATTTTTGATATAATTTTACTTAATCTTAAGTTCTTCTTCATTTTGTGTCCAACCTTTATTAAGAGCTGTCAATTTATATTATTACTGACATAAACATACCATCACTAATATTTCCTCTGACCCCAACAGTGTTGCTAAACGTGTCACAGTCTCGATTTTGTTTGAAAAATGTCTGCCCACTCACCCAATCCTGGCCTGATCCTGCAGAGCAAGCGGTTCAATGGACTGCGGAATGTCTTGGAACGCGAAGGCCCCTTCTGCAAGGACGGCTTCGCGGCCTCGCCGGAAAACCTGGAGTTCCTGCAGACCAAGTGTCAGGTTCTGATTATCGGAGCCGGCGGCCTGGGCTGCGAACTACTGAAGGATCTGGCTCTGATGGGCTTCGGCAACCTGCACGTCATCGACATGGACACAATCGAGCTGTCCAACCTGAATCGCCAGTTTCTGTTCCGCCGCACCGACATTGGCGCCTCCAAGGCTGAGTGCGCGGCTCGCTTCATCAACGCACGAGTGCCCACTTGCCGGGTGACACCGCATTTCAAGAAGATCCAGGACTTCGATGAGTCCTTCTACCAGCAGTTTCACCTGGTTGTCTGTGGCCTAGACTCTATCGTCGCCAGGCGTTGGATCAATGGCATGCTGCTCTCTATGCTGCGTTATGAGGATGACGGCACCATAGATACCAGCTCCATAGTGCCCATGATTGATGGCGGCACCGAGGGCTTCAAGGGCAACGCACGAGTCATCCTGCCCGGGTTCACGGCCTGCATTGAATGCACGCTTGACCTGTTTCCGCCGCAAGTCAACTATCCCCTTTGCACCATAGCAAATACTCCCAGGCTGCCGGAGCACTGCATTGAGTACGTGAAGATCATACAGTGGGAGAAACAGAATCCGTTTGGAGTGCCCCTAGATGGAGACGATCCCCTGCACATTGGCTGGGTCTACGAGCGGGCTCTGGAGCGGTCAAATGAATTCAACATCACGGGAGTCACCTATCGCTTGGTCCAAGGCGTTGTCAAGCACATCATTCCCGCCGTGGCCAGTACAAATGCAGCCATTGCCGCGGCCTGTGCTCTGGAAGTCTTTAAGTTGGCCACCAGTTGCTATGATAGCATGGCAAACTATCTGAACTTCAACGACCTGGACGGTATCTATACCTACACCTACGAGGCTGAGAAGTCGGAGAATTGTTTGGCGTGTAGCAATACACCGCAGCCGTTGCCAATCGAGGATCCCAACACCACCACGCTGGAGGATGTGATAAAGCTTTTGTGCGATTCCCCGCGCTTCCAGCTTAAGAACCCAGCCTTGACGACTGTGATGAAGGACGGGAAACGGCGGACTTTGTACATGTCCGCGGTAAAGAGTATAGAAGAGGCTACCCGAAAGAACCTAACACAGAGCCTGGGCGAACTGGGGTTACACGACGGCCAGCAGCTAACAGTCACCGATGCCACCTCGCCATCCACCATGACTCTGCAGCTAAAGTACCAGTCCAATGAGGTGGAGATGGCCTAAAATGTATCACAGTAGATAACAATTTTAATACACAATTCGTACATGTAAATAAACAGCAGGCTCAGCCTCAAGTTACGCATCTAAATGCTCATGTCCAATATGTACTTCTTGCCAGTGAATCCCTTGAAGTTCAAGGCAGCAGCCGCTGCGTCTTTAAATTTAGCCAAGGGCACCATCTCATGGTTAGGGGCCACGAATTTTCCTTGCTCCATCAGCTCGAAGATCTCCTTAAACATGTTCGAACGTTCTGGCGAGCTGTAGTTCTCCTTGGACCAGCGAGTCATCCAGAAGCCTCTAAATGCAATGTCCTTGAAAATTAGAGGACCGGTGGCCACGGTGACGGGTTCACGGGACATTCCGCCGTATGTGACCAGTACACCACCATTGTCTAGATGGCGCGACACCTCCGTGGCGCTTTTTCCGCCCACACAATTGAAGGCCAGGCGGGGCTTCTTTAACTTGCCCGATTTGAAGATGTCACTGGTGCGAATTTCGGCCTCGGTTAGGACCTCGGTGGCTCCCAGGCACTGCAGCATTTGCTTCAGTTCGGCAATCTCTGGTCGGTCACGTACAATGCCAATGCTATTGATGCCCCAGGCTCGGCACAATTGGTGCACTGCCTGGCCGACGGCGCTGTTAGCGCCGTTTTGGATGACCGTGTCACCCGGACAAAGCTGCACAAAGTCCTTAAGCATCCGGTAGGCAGTGGTGGGATTCACTGTCGAGGTGGCGGCCTCCGCCAAGCCGACTTTCTTGGACACGATCAACAGCTGATCCTCCTTGTAGACGGCATGCGTGGTCCAAGTGCCCAGACCACTGGCCAAGGGAATGACGTGCTGCCCCGCCTCCAAGCCTTTGACTTTGTCGCCCACGCAAATGACCTCCGCCACACACTCATTGCCTCCAACTGCTGGGAACTTGGGCTTCACCGGGTATTTACCTGTACGGGATTAACGATGATCATTATTAAAGTGTCTTTGATAAAGATTATGATTTAGTTATTTAGCTTGTAAATATTTTTAAGGTTAGATAAGAGATTAAATGAATTGAGCTAAGCTTCATTTAAATTTACAGCCGCAACGGTGAGCATTGTTCAAAGTACAAAGATTTACTGATAATATTCAAAGCATTTTGAAAATAATATTCCTGGTAATCTTCTAAACAAATGGGGATACCATTAAAACAAGCTTTTCTGATCGACACTTTTTATCCCAGTCGTTTCACTAGAGGAACTGTTGTATCATAGTGAAATAGTTCACGTAGGTTATGGCTATATTTTGATATATGTTGTTTATGATATATCCAAATGGCCAGCGTACCCTGGATGGTGTTTATGTCCGCCGGGTTAATGGGAGCCGCAAGAATCTTCACCAGCACTTGATTGTCCTTGGGATCGGGAAGTTGGTCCTCCACCAGTTGCAGCACCTCTTGTGGCTCGCCGTGCTGTGTGTACTTCAGGGATTTGGCCAGCACCGACATTTGGCGGCTCCATTGGGTTGGTCTGATGCCAGATAAAAAGCCTCTGCGCAACATTTCTTACTAATAGTTAGGATTTTCGACCATCAAAATAGTAAAACGAAAATTATTATGCTGGCCAGTGTGACCGCTGCAGCGTTGCTGCCAACTTGATTTTTAATGACAACTAGGGACTCTAAATTTTGAGTGCTGGCATTTTCGGCCAAGCGACAAACGGTCGCCGTTATTTCGCCAATTTCAGTTGTCTCAAATCGATTTTTTAAACAAAACCTCTAGAAATACTCACTGATACTGAATTGACCGGCGGTAAAATGGACGCGTAAGCAAATCAATGTGATTATTACTATGTAGTTTAACTATTGGTCACCCTTGCAGTTTACAAGACGAAGTGGAGTCGCTGGAAGCTATCCTAATGGAAGATGTTTGCATCAAACGTACATCCAGGTAGGTGATACAGTAGCTACCCATATATGTGTTCGATACTACAGTGAGTTGTCCAATATTCCACCTCCGTGAAAAGCGGTGAGGTGGAGCAGATCGAGACCACGGTGCTGCCGCTGACCGGAGAGGAGGAGGAGCAGCAGTATGTGTGTGTTACACTGCAGGTGCATCCAACACCTGGCTATCCGGAGGAGAGTCCAACATTCCAGCTGCTGCGTCCGCGGGGATTGGACGATGCCCGTTTGGAGGCAATCCGAAGCGCATGCAACGCCAAGATAAAGGAGTCAATTGGTTTTCCGGTCGTTTTCGACCTCATCGAGGTGGTGCGGGAGCACCTGAGCGGGAGCAATCTTCCTAGTGGCCAGTGCGTTGTCTGCCTGTATGGATTCGCCGATGGCGACGAGTTCACACGCACCGAGTGCTTCCACTACCTGCACAGCTACTGCCTGGCCCGGCATCTGAATGCCCTACGCCGCAACTACCAGGAGGAGTTCGATAAGTTGCCCGCCTGGCTCCAGAAGACGGCCGATCCCTTCCAGGCCCTGTGCCCCGTTTGCCGTGAGCACATTGGCGACGAAACGGATAGCCTCAAGTGCGCTATGCCGCCATCTGAGTTGCTGAATGCTCCGGAATTTAAGGTGACCGAGGCACTGCGCCAAATGCAGCAGCGCATGTCGGAGTTGTATCTGCAACAGAAGAGTCGCGGCGCCATTATCGATGTAAATGCCGAGGGATCGGCCGTAATTTCCATCGAGACGGAGGAGGACATTAGGCGAAGGCGGCGTCGAGAGGAAGCCGAGGCAGCTAAAAAGCTGGAGGGACCGGCGAAGGAGGAGGTTATCAAACCCACAACTAGTTCCACATTTGCGCCAGTGGTGCAGGAGACCCACCGCATCATGCCGGAGCCGACCAACAATAATTATCACCACAATCGGCGGCACTATCGCGGCGGCAGGCGCCACCATCATCACCATCAGCATGGTCACCATCATCGGGCCGAAAGGGATCGGGAGCAGAATGCGGCTGCAGCGCCGGCCACCGCAAGTGGCTCCACATCGAATACGAGCAATGGCAAGCAGGCAAAGGCCCAGTCAGCCAGTTCCGGGCTTGCCAGGTGACGATGGCTTCCGGAAGAGATGGGGATCCGGATACCCATTGCGTTGCCATGCTGCTAATACACAATGAAGCACCGACCCAAACGGCCCAGGTTAAGTTTTATGAGGCGCACTCGATTCTGTGACTTTTTAAGTTCGTGCGTTTAAATATTTAGTTTGAATATTTAGTTAGCTTTAGCGAGCCGGGTTAGCTAATTTGGACTATATTAATGATGATATTTAGTTGTACCTTAACTATAATGATATTTGTAATGATTTACAAAAGACTTGCGGCACCATGCCAAGCCGATATTATTAGGGCCTTTGAAAGCTAGCGCGTAGAACAGCATGTATTTAGCAGCACCAACTGGCAGCGCTGGCGTTGACGACATAACCCGACAGCATCGGGAAGATTCGAGAAGACGGTATTGATATCCACTTACGCATAATCCGCTACTGCACTTCAAAGTTTAGTCTAAATAAATCCCCCTCTGGCAGCCTATAGCACAAAGAAACGCAAGAACCCAGCTTGTACTTGAGTTAGTTGGACGATTAAAGTTGGAGCGGCATTTCTAGTCAGTGAATGGAGGCAACCGAGAAGGAGCAACCCGATACAGGGCATCTGCATTAGCATGCATGCACACATATTTAAATATCACAATTAATTGAGTGTTTTGTAGAAAATCAAATAGTGATCCGCACGGATCGATCATGGTATTATATCGAAAATTCAATTTCAATGTGTCAAATATCTACTACGATTGAGAACTTAAATGAATAAATCAAATTCGGAAATCAGCAGGACCAAGTGTTTTATTTCTTATCTTTGGATGGTCGGTCGGGTGATAAAATAAAAAGGCAGCGGGTTATGTTGTTATTTTTTTTTTGTAAATGTTTATTTCGCATTTGAATTGTTTTAATTTAATAGAATTACAAAAAACGAGTTGTAATGTATTTCTTTCGTTTCGTACAACAAAATAATTTAGTATTAGTATTTTACAGTATTTATAGAAACGGGTTCGATTTCTTTCGGCCCTTCTGCATCGTAATTCATTCGCTGATATTGCATATAAAAAACAAAATAATTATGCAATACAAAATCTGTGTGTGTTTGTCGCTTAACAGTTAAATATTAATTAAACTTATAGTAATGACTTTTAGTATATAATTAAATATTTTCTTTATGCGGCTTACAATTTTCACTTTCCTATTAGTTTAATAACAGAACAAAATCAAATTTTATCTCTTTAACGGGTTTAGTTATATTTTTTTGGCCGTTCCGCCTCTGCCATGTGCCACTCCTGGCTAGGAATCCACCGGACTGGCGATTCCAGTGGAGTCCTGAGACTCAAGATGGTTGCAACAGAGACCGCGGCATTTCATTCGAATGTGTTTTATTTTTTCACTAATTTTTTTTCGATATTTTTTTGTATTGGTTTTCATTGTTTTGTATTTTTTTGTTTAATTGCCTTAGAGCACTTGGAGTGTATTTTTCATTAATTTACGCTTGCTTTTCGCTTTATAAGTATATACAAATCATAATTTCGGAAACGTGTATAACTAGTGAATAAAGGTAGTGGGCATTACAAATTAGTAGTAGCAAAAGGTAGTATTAGTAATAGTAGTACTCGTAAGTAGGTTGCTTGTCTGATCAACTTTGTGTGCTAGCTATATGTCTGCAAATCTTTCATCTTAACTGTGTCTTTTACAAAATATATATAGTATAAACATCTATAAATTGTTTCGCTCTTCCACTCCATTAGGGCACTTCAAAGTTAGTCTCTTTTGTAGAACTGTGTGCTGTTCCTCCTGCTACATTCATTGCTAATGTAGCCTCGATTAGTTTTGGAGAGGGTTTGGGTTTGGGTTTGGGTTTAGTTTAGAACTTCAGTGCGTAGTTAGTACGTAGAGTTGTGTGTATGTGGTTTAACTATTGGCATTCTTTTGCTTCTCTATCGTCGTCCTCATCCATAAAGGTTCCTATAGCCGGAACGGTTCGCGCTTCTCCGTCGGTGTGGTTCCCCGCGAAGTGCGTCTCATTGTGGAGCTAAAAGTGGGCTCCGCTGAGCTCTTTCGGGGCGTTTGCATGCCGGAGGGCGTCGAGCTACCGCTGATGTTCCGCCTGGGATCAAAAAGTATCAGATTAGTCGCTGTTCCTTAAAGAGTTTTTCACATTATAACACATACAAATAACAAAAAATGTATTGTAATTTGGTAATCGAACTTAAGCATTAGTCAAAAGCATTTTTTGCTCGTTGTTCTCTGGGTTCTTATGGCATGGACATGCACATCAACATTCACATGCGCGGAAAAAGGTTGAACAAACAAGGAAACTTAACAATAACTTTAGACGGGTATAAATCATAATTACTTGCTATAGACTGAGTTGAAATTGACTAGTAAATGTCTTTGTTGTAAGCTTATCAACTTTACCCCAAGCTGGTTGGATTCGTAGTCGAGCTGGGCGATGTTGACTTGGAATCGAATGAGGGTATCTTAATCGGTATCCGTGATGGCCGGCTTTTGGTGTTTGAGGGGGGTAGTAAGTACAACGATAGTTAGCAAAGGTAAACCATAACCGCTGCCTACGATACATGATCGATCTTAAATCTAGCCTAAACTTATGAGTATGTATTTATGTTACGTTTTCGATGCCGATCGAGGCTGTATTACCTAATTGGTTTGAAGCCGAAGCCTGTTAGTGCTGGTATACTGGATGATCTACTCATGCCTCCGTTGCTGTTTCGGTTTTGGATAATTATTTATTGTTTTGGGAGGGGTTCAGGCACGGTTTTAGTTGCATTTTTTAGTTGCGTTCAAGCAAATTTCAAAATGGTTCAAATGCCAATTGGAGTTGTAAGTTAGCGTTTCATGATGTTGTTTGTTTGTGTGAGTGGTGTTGGTCAATAGTTAATGCGGTATACCGAAAACAGTGTGAAAATAAAAATAATAAATTAATAAAAGTTTATATAATTAATTGTGTGTTGATCCCGCCCCACTCTCCCCGCTATTATCGATTCGATGAGATGCCTTAATCATGGAATCCCTACCTTGTAGGCGCCGGACTAGCCGATCCGGAGGCGGTTTTGCGGGTGATGGTGCTGGTGCCATTGAGACGACTGCCGGGAGTCGTGATGGTGGTCACCGAAAGTCGCGCCGGACGCGGAGTGGCACCGCTGGCTGTGCTGCCCGTTGAAGGCTTACGCTGCGGAATGCGCGAGGGCGTGTGATCGTCTACAAAAAGGAAGACAAACTTATTAGCTAAGGATCTGCAAAAGCACTCATTTGCTACATACCCGTGCTATCCAGCGACAGCGTGGAGCCATGTCGCGATGGCGGCTTTGATCCCTGTCTGCTGAGCGGGCGCGAGTTGGGCTTGGAGCCGGCGCGGGAGCCTCCTGGCGTGAGACCCGTGCGCGTGCTCGTGTAGGTGACCTTGCGGGGCGTGTATCGGCCGGAAGGTCCTCCATGGCTGCCCTCGTTGTCGCTCAGGGAGTCGGGAGTGCTGGCCGAAAGGGAGGAGCGCGACGGCCGTGACATGGGTATGGAGCGGACGGAGCGCTCGCGTACCTTTGCGAAAATAAATAAAACATTTATTATAATGCTGGTTTATTGTATGTTTAGGACCCTCTTCCCCGTGAAAGATGAAACCGATATCGGGCACTCCTTGTGGAGCAGCTT